CTGGATACTTTTTAAAAATTTATGATTCTATAGTTTATGCAGCTCATTAACATACTTGGGAGTAGAAGCAACAGTCTCTTGCAAATTTCTTCATTCTATTTAGAAGCAGAATTTTCTTTTCACTTCTTTTGATAGCTACCTCTTGTGCATGTCATGTTTTATATTTAAGTCTTCTTCCCATAGCTTTGTGTGAGGTAAGCTGTAAGCCTAGCAAAAAGCACTCGAAATTTCATCTCTGCTATCCTTTGTAAATATACATTCATTGAGTTTTTAAAAAGCCCTGGAAACCATCTTCGTGAAGATAAAACATGTTGGAACATAGTAGATACTACAACAGTGGTATTACGAAAATCCTACTGAAAACTGAATGACAACATATTTGTTCATGTAATCTGGAATGCTGAATTGGAATTCTGCAGATTGGAAGCAACATCAAGGACTTAATGGGGTCTAGTCATCTGTCTTCAGACAGGTAATGTTTTGCTTCCTCATTCTTATAATATCTTATCACAGGAAGGGCTTAAGGCGAAGTAAGGATTTCTTATTCTCATATTACAGATGAGGCCTCTGGGATCCAGAGGCACAGTGATCAAACCACAGATCACAGTGTGCATGGAGTGGGAGGGCAACCCAGGCTCCAACTTCCTGGCATTGCACCTATCCCAATACTTATTTATTTTAACTGCAAGGCCCAAAGAACTAGACAGATCTGCCAAGAATAGAAATCCTGGCATGACCTCATGAGGTTTGGAAGACTTCATAGTATTAAAATAGAAAAATGTTAAAAACAAAATGTAAATATCACTGAGTTATCATCCAGTGCCCTGTGCTTTCCCTAGGTTAGGGAAATATGGTATGGGCAACATCTGTCCTGTTTCACTACCATGTGTCAGAGGATGACACAGGGTTTGTCACACAAGGCAGAGAAACATCACAAATATTTGTTGAATAAATTTTTTTTTGAGAAAAGCTAAGTAATATAACAAAAAACATCCTAAGAGGACAGCACCTTGATCATGAAAAAGCTTAATCTCTCTTTGATACCACTGGAAAACAAGAAGCTATTATAGAAATATTTTTGCAAAATATTTGTAAGAGATGTGTTATTATCTGAATATTTGGTCATTCTAGTCAGGAACTCAAAATGAGAAAAAGGCAATTCTTTGGGGGAATGTAATCACTCATCCAATGCAGACTCAGTTACAAACCAAGGATATTTTTTGAACTGTATCATTTCAATTACAAGGCCCAAAGAACTAATCAAATGTGCCACAATACCCAAGAGTGACATTTAAAAAATTTTTAATTTGAAAATAATTTAAGAATTATGGAGTAGTTTTCGGAAGATCTATACATCCTTTAACAAGGTTCACCTACTGTTAACATTTTGCTCCATTTGCTTTGCAATTTGCTATTGCTGTATCCATCCATCCACATGATACGTTTTTCTGAAGCACTGAGAAAATATTGTCTATATTATGGCTCTTTACCACTAGATATGTCAGTGCATATTTCCTAAGAATAAAAATATTATACACCACAGTAATTAACTTCCGTAAGTTTAACAATGATATGACACTTTTTACCATCTATATTCCAATTTCGTAAATTGGCCTAATAATGCATTTATAGCATTTTTCCAATATAGAATCTAGTCTAGGACCAGTTACTGCATTTAGTTGTCACAACTCTTTAGTATTGTTTACTCTGGAACATTTCTGCAACCTCTGTCTTTTATGACATTGACATTATTGAAGAACATGGTTCTTTTTTTCTTTCTTCACAAAATGTTCCTCATTTTAAATTTGTCTGATGTTTCTTCACAGTTAGTTAGGTTCAGGTTATACATTTCCAGATGTCATACTACACAAGTGATACTGTATCCTCAAGTTATCATAGCCAGAGGCACATGTTGTCCATCTGCCCCTCATTGGTGCTATTAATTTTGATCACATGGTCAAGGTGTTGCCTGGTTTTTCCATTATATAGTTATTATTTTTCCCTATAACTAATCAGAAGCCTGTGGAGGGATGCTTAAAGACTATAAAATAGTCTGCTCCTCCTCAAGGAAATTTTTATAACAGTATTTTCACCACAGTTATAAAAAGTGACCTCTATATAGTAAAAGAAACCTAATTTCATGTATTATAGTTGAATAAGTTCCATGCCAGTTTTAACATCTGTTTCTATTACAGTAGTCCATGCACACTGGGTGTTTATTAAAAACTCTTCATTAACTGTCTGCTATCTGGGTAGGATATGGGCAATTTGTTTTTAAAATCCAGCTGGTACCAATACCCTAATTTTGGCTCCTTAAAAAGATATATTTAACTTATGCTATCAAAGTAGTTTATAAATTAAATTAAATGATATAATTGCAAGAACATTCTTTAAAAAAAGAGACTTCTAAAAAAAAACTTAGCTCTACTTATTCAAATTATATATGCATTCCTGTTACAATGATATTGATTATCATCCAGCCTTTTCTAAGCAGTATGATTTTTGAGCTAAGCCTTAATTCAAAGCCTTATCTCGGATTAAACACAGCTACCTTATATATGCTCAAATGGCCAGGTGGCTTCAGTTTCTGAGTTTGGTAACACACAGAAAGAAGACAATTTTTGAAAAGCAGGGCACATTTTTTTGAACTTTTAAAAATAGTTTTTAAATTTTAAATACTTTAAGATGCCTTTGTACTCATTTTGCTACCACGGCTCTCAACATTATGGAGGAACATGCTTCACAAACCAGTCATGATACTGAACAGGTATGCCACTAGTGGTTCGACTATTCTTTTACAGAAGTCAGGAAATCAGAGGGAGAGATAGGTCCAAAGCTTAAATAGAATACAAACTTTTTATAACCCCCTTTCTCTTTTGGGCTCAGCTTCTCATCTATAACTTTGTCTTACTTGCAATACAATAAAATTCTAGACTTTATAATAAAAGAGATAATTTTTCTTTTTGATCAATAGAATTCAGCAGCCAAATCATTAGTGTTTTTGTTTTGGGGTTGTCTTTCTTTTTTTTATTTTTCTTAAAAGTATTTGTAGTCACAGGCTCAAAGGAGAAAGAAAGGAAAAGGGATTAACTCTCCTCAAGGAAGGTCAAAAACATAATTTACAAGACAGGCAAGAGGACCAGCTGCATCTCCTTGCCAAACTGATTACCAACTGGAGAATTTACCAACAATAAGAAAACCATGTCTACCAGATGTCAAGCTATATAACTGGAGGCCAAATATCTTTGGGCTCATAGCAGGACTCTCCACTCTTTACTACCTATATTTTACATTAAATAGTAAGGTGTCTTCCACGGGCCACCAGCAAGGATAACAAAAATATTTCCACACAAGTGACCTAATAACATAATCACACCCCACCAGACTGGCTTCAGTGCTGAAGTCCACCTCAGACATATTCTTTTGTTAAAAAGCAATCTTAGTTCTGAATGAATATGTAAGGGGACAGAGAAACTGAAATGACTGCAAGCTATTCCTATGCAAGGATTCTTGGGGTTTATCATGCTGTTTTCTATTTGGGAACTCTTTTGTCACTGAGAAGAAATGAATCTGAAAATATGAATAACCATTTTCCCACTTACTTATTAAACTTGTACTGTTCAATATGGTAACCACGAGCCACATGTGGCTATTTAAAATTAAGTAAAATTTTAAAATTCAGTTCCTCAATCAAACTAGCTACATTTAAGTGATCAATAACCACATGTGGCTAGTAGCTTTCCTGTTGAAAAACAGAGATATATAATGTTTACATCACACAAAATTCTATTAGACAGTGCTGTTCTAAACCCTTAAATCACCTTTAAAATGGGCAAACATATTTCCATTCTACATAAATTATGAAACAATCTTTTATGCATTCTCTTAGGAAATAGGTCTACTAACACAGTGTGAATATTGTACCAGGTGGAGGTGAAACAAAGGGATCTCAGTAATATTTTCGCAATATAAGCCAATCCTTGTCTGATTAAATGCTCTTTACATTATTCACAGAAGTTCTGTGGAGCTACTCGCTGGCTGGATAATATACAGAGGACAGTCTGGATGGGTATTACACAGCAAATAAACAATAAAGTGCTCTTTATTGTATTTATCCTTTATGATTCAATCTGCATCAGACGGTTCATATCAGAAGTCTTATTTTATAAGTCAAAATGTACAAAATAAATCATTTCCTTTAAAAACAAGGCTGCCCAACTTCACAGCTTTACAACTGAGATACTTTAATGCCAAGTAAACATCACAGGCCACAGCTGTTCCTAAAAATTTTATGAACAAGAAGAACATGAGGTCAATATAAAATAAAATCCATAAATCACGTTGCTTACTCCCAGGCTCAACCTTCAAGAACCCAGGGAAGCCAAGCAACTCTGGAGACAGTATGTGGATGTCTATGTAATTATTGTAACTCACTGAGGGACGTGTGCCACAGGCATGTGGCATGTAGACAAAGACCACTGCTTCTGCCCGTGAAGACATCATGTCAGGGCATGACAGAACACACTGAAAGATGAGACAGGTCATACTTGCAAGCATGTCAGCCACTGTGCCATCAAACATGCAGGATGCTTTCTAGAGTCAAAGCTTGCTTTGATTTAGCTTCCTTTATTCTAACACTCCTTGCAGAATCAACCACCTATGTCAGCTTATCAGCTTCACTCCCATTTTCTCTTCCCAAATCCCAGTCTCCTCTTTTCAACTTAATTGCAATGGGCAAAAGGAAAAAGATGGGAGCTGTAGGGGAAGGTGGGCAGGCTTTTCCTAATGCTCCCTTCCTCTGTCACCAAAAGCAAAATAGATATACTGGTTTTCTCTGGGGCTGTCAGCATTGTTAACTGTTCTTATTCAGATTCTTACAAAGATCATAGAGTTACTGCCCAAGAAAAGCTAACAAAATTCATCCATATCAACTTAGCTAGTTAGAGGTTTATGCAATGGCTACAAGGTTCTCAGGTTATGACCAGTTCTTTCCCGCTTACCTTGGCTTTCCCATCCTGGGCTGACATATATCCAACACACATGCTCTCTGTTGTGTGGCTCCACAGAAATTCCACTGTTGTAAAAGAGAACACAAATAGGCACATTCAGATCACAGATGGAAAATAAATCTTTGCTTTTTAATAGAACAGTTAAAGATAGCTTTATATTTAACATACTCAGTTCCCCACTTTCCATTTGCTCCTTCATAAATGTCAAGATGATTTATCACTCAAAACTGTGTAATGCCATTTACTGTGAAATGAAAAATGTATTTCTTTCCTGTCAAAACTTATGATTATTACATGTAAAATAAATGCTCTTCTGTTTGAATCTGTAACGATTAAATGCACACACTCATACACACTGTATACAATGATTTAGTAAATGTAATATTCCATAGTGTGGATTCTTTAAACCACATGCATGCACACAGACAAATGACACATACTGCAGATCTTAATTTCCCTTTTTTTATTTTTGAGATGGAGTTTCACTCTTGTTGTCCAGGCTGAAGTTCAATGGCATGATCTCAGTTCACTGCAGCCTCTGGCTCCTGGGTACAAGCAATTCTCCTGCCTCAGCCTTCCAAGTAGCTGGGATTACAGGCATGTGCCACCATGCCCAGCTAATTTTGTATTTTTAGTAGAGATGGGGTTTCACCATGTTGGCCAGGCTGGTCTCAAACTCCTGACCTCAGGTGATCTACCCGCCTCAGCCTCCCAAAGTGCTGAGATTACAGGCATGAGCCACTGCACCCAGCCCTTAATTTCTAAATGCCATTCTCTACAAAAAAGAACCAGGGGTTCTTGGAGAAATGTCCATTCCAGAGCTGGCACAGAGAAAATATAAAATGAATCTGGTACATCTTGTGCCAGTAAAGAAAGAAAATGCTCAAAGAGGCTGGGCATGGTGGCTCATGCCTGTAATCCCAGCACTTTGGGAGGCCAAGGCGGGTGGATCACGAGGGCAGGAGATCGAGACCATCCTGGCTAACACGGTGAAACCCCATCTCCACTAAAAATACAAAAAATTAGCCAGGTGTGGTGGCAAGTGCCTGTAGTCCCAGCTACTCAAGAGGCTGAGGCAGGAGAACTGCCTGAACCTAGAAGGTGGAGGCTGTTGCAGTGAGCGAAGATCATGCCACTGCACTCCAGCCTGGGCAACAAGAGCGAGACTCTGCCTCAAAAAAAAAAAAAAAAAGAAAATGCTCAAAGAATAAAGGAGACTTATCAAAAAGACCCAGGGGTCAATCTGAAAGGCTCTCACTGGCAAAATCTGTGCCTATCAAAATAAATAATGAGCGTAATGAATTATAACCACTGAACAAAGTAAGAACCAACGAACCCATACTGAACCAAACAAATAAATAAAGAGAAGACAAAGCTCATCCTTCAGCAGAATGTGAACAAATAAGTACAGAAAAATAACAGAAAATCATGGTTGCTAAAACTAGTAGGTGGAAATTTGAAGAGGCGCAGGCTATTTACATAGCTTCAAAGTATCTCTCCAAAAAATTCTTGTAACTGGAAAAACTGTTAGTTCACTGTGGAAGCACATGACAGACTCCAACTTAATTCACTGAACAAAGCTAACACCACCAGTGAAGGCACAAATCAGTACCATATGCCTTTTGATAAAATACCTTGAGACACGAAACTTCTGTGGTATTTGGTCTTCCTAACAAAAACACATAACCAGAATCAAATGAGAAAACATCAAACAGACTTGAAATAGCAACACTCTACTAAATAACTGGTTTGAACTCTTCAAAAACGCCAAAGTCAGAAAACACAAAGTTGGGAAACTTCCTGTTTAAAGGAGACATGACAACTGAACACATGTCATCCTGGATTGCACTCTGGACTCGGTGGTGAGAGGAGATGTCATGAGGGACATTATGGAGATAACTGATAAAGTTGGAAAAGGGACTGTGGGTTAGACAGTGCTGTCATATCAATATTAAAAGCCATGACTTTGATAACTGCACTGTGATTACTTAGTAGAATGGCCTTCTTCTTAAGGAATACTCACCAAAGTATTAGGAATACAGGAGCCCAATGTCTCCACCTCACTCTCAAATAGTTCAGGGAAAAAAATGCATTTGTTTGTGTGTGTGTGTGTGTGTGTGTGCATGCGTGTAGAGGGAGGAGGGAGTGAGGATGGGAAAACAAACAGAAGAAAATGAAAACACTGGTTGAATCTCGGAAAAGGAATCATGAATGTCCCTTGTACTATTCTTGGAACTTTTCTCTATGTGTAAAATTATACCTAAATAAAAAGTTACAAAAAGAAAACTGTAAACATCCAGGGATGCACACAAAGCTCTGTCACATTCAAATACATATCTTCAAAATTCTGAGTTTTTTAAGGCATCCTTAAAGTTGTAATGTACTCCAATAAAAATTTCAAAAGTCCCTGATAATAAGACTGCATTGCTCAACACTATACCCTGTCCCCCAGGCCATCCGTCTGTTTATATCTCTAAGCTAGTTCAGCCTGGAGACAAGTGTTTGAGTTGAGACCCAACTCTGTGATTCCATGATCCTAGCCTCTGAAGGCTTTGCCAGACATGTGGGGAAGAAAGAGGCAGTAAGGCGCAAAATTGAGTTCCTCAGATAAATGGCTCATTCCCTCATCATTAATTAATTATTAAACCTGCCAACCTGCTCAACAGACGCTCCACTGAGGAGTACAGGGAAACAGTGTCACGCAATGAAGCAAATTCTCTTCACCAGATGTTTTTTCCTCCACACACATCGGCTTTGAACTTCAAAAATCTTGACATCCCCAGAAAGAGGGAATCCTTCCCAAATCATTTTATGAGACCAACATCATCCTGATACCAAAACCCGGCAGAGACTCAACAAGAAAAGAAAACTTCAGGCCAATATCCATGATGAACACAGGCGCAAATATCTTCAATAAAATACTGGCAAGCCGATTGCAACAGCACATCAAAAAGCTTATCCACCATGATGATAAAGGAGGCTTCATCCCGGGGATGCAAGGCTGGTTCAACATACGCAAGTCTATAAACGTAATACACCACATAAACAGAACCAAAGACAAAAACCACATGATTATCTCAACTGATGCAGGGAAGGCCTTTGACAAAATTCAACAGCCCTTTATGCTAAAAACCCTCAATAAGCTAGGTATCAATGGAACGTATCTCAAAATAATAAAAGCTATTTACGACAAACCAACAGCCAATATCATACTAAATGGGCAAAAACTGGAAGCATTCCCTTTGAAATCTGGCACTAGACAAGGATGCCCTCTCTCACCACTCCCATTCAATATAGTACTGGAAGACTGAGCCAGAGCAATCAGGCAAGAAAAAGAAATAAAGGGTATTCCAATAGGAAAGGAGGAAGTCAAATTGTCCCTATTTGGAGACAACATGATTGTATATCTAGAAGACCCCATCGTCTCAGCACCAAACCTCCTGAAACTGATAAGCAACTTCAGCAAAGTCTCAGGATACAACATCAATGTACAAAAATCACAAGCATTCCTATACACCAATAACAGACTTAAAGAGAGCCAAATCAAGAACAAACTGCCATTCACAATTGCCACAAAGAGAATAAAATACCTAGGAAAACAACTAACAAGGAACGTAAAGGACCTCTTCAAGGAGAACTACAAGCCACTGCTCAATGAAATAAGAGAGGACACAAACAGATGGAGAATAATTCCATGTTCATGGTTAGGAAGAATCAATATCGTGAAAATGGCCATACTGCCCAAAGTAATTTACAGATTCAATGCTATCCCCATCAAGCTACCAATGACCTTCTTCACAGAACTGGAAAAAACCACCTTAAACTTCATATGGAACCAAAAGAGGGCCCGCATAGCCAAGTCAATTCTAAGCAAAAAGAACAAAGCTGGAGGCATCATACTACCGGACTTAAAACTATACTACAAGGCTACAGTAATCAAAACAGCATGGTACTGGTACCAAAACAGAGATATAGACCAATGGAACAGAACAGAGGTCTCGGAGGCAACACAACATATCTACAACCATCTGATCTTTGACAAACCTGACAAAAACAAGCAATGGGGAAAGGATTCCCTGTTTAATAAATGGTGTTGGGAAAACTAGCTAGCCATGTGCAGAAAGCAGAAACTGCACCCCTTCCTGACACCTTCCACTAAAATTAACTCCAGATGGATTAAAGACTTAAACATAAGACCTAACACCATAAAAACCCTAGAAGAAAATCGAGGCAAAACCATTCAGGACATAGGCGTAGGCAAGGACTTCATGACCAAAACACCAAAAGCATTGGCAACAAAAGCCAAAATAGACAAATGGGACCTAATCAAACTCCACAGCTTCTGCACAGCAAAACAAAGTCATTAGAGTGAATCGGCAACCAACAGAATGGGAAAAAATTTTTGCAGTTTACCCATCTGACAAAGGGCTGATATCCAGAATTTACAAAGAACTAAAACAGATTTATGAGAAAAAAACTAACAAGCCCATTCAAAAGTGGGCAAAGGATATGAACAGATACTTTAGAAAAGAAGACATACACGAGGCCAACAAACATATGAAAAAATGCTCATCATCACTGGTCATCAGAGAAATGCAAATCAAAACAACATTGAGATACCATCTCACGCCACTTAGAATGGTGATCATTAAAAAATCTGGAGACAACAGATGCTGGAGAGGATGTGGAGAAACAGGAACACTTTTACACTGTTGGTGGGAGTGTAAATTAGTTCAACCATTGTGGAAGACAGTGTGGCGATTCCTCAAGGACCTAGAAACAGAAATTCCATTTGACCCAGCAATCCCGTTACTGGGTATATATCCAAAGGATTCTAAATCGTTCTACTATAAGGACACGTGCACACGAATGTTCATTGCAGCACTGTTTACAATAGCAAAGACCTGGAACCAACCCAAATGTCCATTGATGATAGACTGGACAGGGAAAATGTGGCACATATACACCACAGAATATTATAAAGCCATAAAAAACGATGAGTTTGTGTCCTTTGTAGGGACATGGATGAACCTGGAAACCATCATTCTCAGCAAACTGACACAAG